CGTATAAAACTAAAAGATACGAATCTTATTACATCAAGACGCTCTTCATCTCAACGAATTATGTTACAGACGAACGTGCTGAAAACTCGCGAATGTAGAATTGGAAAATGTGTTGTTTCGATAGCTTTATTTGCAGATATTTTATACATATGCGGTTGAAACATCTAAATGTCTTGGTTTTTTCCGCATCTTGTTACATCAAGACAGCATCTCTCGCTTTCATCATGCTAGTCATCACTATGGATCATGTTACATACGAACGTGCCGAAAACGCGCAAATGTATAATTCTATGTAGTTTAGCATCGAAATATCATTTTTTGTTTTTTTGCTAAATAATCAAAATCGTTATTGGAGAAGGAGCTATCTCTTGTCCAATCAAATGAGATGAAGCGGTGGGGTAATTAGTATTTAAGAAATCCTATCTCACGTTCGCACATCAATCGATTCTAACTACAAAGTGTTATAAAAAGAAACTACTGAAGAATTTCACAACGTAAGTACCGAATTTGATACATATTTGCGTTTGTTTTTATCTGATAAATTGCTTATTGAATTGTTATTTATATAATGGTACATGTCTGTCTATGCTGTTTAAACTATGAAGTTGCCACCAGAAGCTGATTGGAAAGAGATGGAAGAAGGAGAGGATTATTTCGATTCGATCGATGGTGTTCGACCAATGGATCATCCAGAAACCTATCACGATCTGCTCCATTGTGTTTGTCTCCATGTTGCCGACCCAAAGGTGCAAATGTTCTATCTGGAGCAACGCATACCACGACGACAAATATGTGTAAAATGTTACAAACGACAAGGACCAATAGATTTATTTGTTGTACGCACGGATACGCATTCCCTGTACAGCACATTATTTTTTCTACCGTGGGCAATGCACTGTATGACATGCGCTAAACTACTGTTTAAAATCGATAGACCAGCCTATAACTGCAGAGCATGTATACTGGAATTCATGAAGAATAGACGTCTGGTGCAAGCAGAAGGTGAAGTTTTTGTAAACGAGCGATGGTAGCAAAGAATGAAATATATTTGTGCACTTTTTTGTACTGTACATAATATACTAAATAAAATATTAAATAAATAAGAAATTTATTCCTTCATGTCTTGTCCCAATACTGTGCCATGAGATAAAGAGAATTGTGCTGATATGTGCAATGCAATGATGCACTAAAAACGTGTATGTTGCAAAGATATAAAATTACAATATGCATAAAGTAAACATTCGGTTTTTTGCTAATTAATCACAATTTCAATGGAGAAGGGGCTATCTTTTGTCCAATTCACTTAAAAGAAACGGCGGGGGCAGTAGTATTTAAGAGCTCAAAGTTTGCGTTTAACCATTAGTTTACAGGGATAAAAAAGAGAATTGTATATTCATCAGAATGGCTTGTATTCCGGAGAACTGTCAAGAAGAATATAGATACGAATCTGTTCGATTAACCAGTTTTAAAGATTGGCCATGCTCGTAGATAACACCGGAAAGACTGGNAGCAGCTGGATTCTATTACACGGGCGAAGAAGATAAGGTAAAATGTTTCAAATGTAAACTTGAAATAAGCAAATGGGAAACGAATGACAATCCACTAGCCGATCATCAACGGTGGTCCAGACGATGTCGATTTGTTGAAAACTTATCCTACGACAACGTAGCCATTAGTGTGGATTCTAGCACAATTCCGAAAAATATAGACGAAGCAGAAATCCACATGTTTTATGTCCGTTTCCGATTTGGATTATGTTACCGAGGACATTGGAATGTTAAACAAAATATTGTCAAAACCGAAATATCCACAATTTGGCACTTATGAAGCAAGAATCAATACATTTGAAGCATGGCCAAAATCATCAAAACAAACAAAACAAGATCTTGCAAATGCTGGATTTTATTACACGGGGAAAGATGATCAGACGTTGTGTTACTATTGCGGAGAAGGATTGAGAGATTAGAATCCGGAAGATGTTCCTTGGGAGCAACATGCAAAGTGGTTTAAATACTGTCCGTTTCCGATTGTTTGCAAAAGACGCGATTATATAAACACAGTCATCAACGGAACATATTATACACGGAACAATTCAATTAATGCATCCGAAGAAATACAAGAAGCAGACAAGAAATCGGACGAAGATACTAGCATATTGCAGCAGAATGTGCTACTTTTTATTGTTATAGTAGTTTTATATGTGTTATATTTGAATTACATTTTTACCTATAATATCTTACTTCTAATGTTTTATTTACAGTTTATAATATACACATAATAAATATGTATACTTATACAGGGTCCGCCACTTAAATCCGGACAAATTT